CATCTTACTTCAATGTATCCGCAATAACTTTGCCCGGAATGGCACTACAATCCTCAACCCAGCGCACGGTCTTTAGCCAGTCCCGCACATCTTTTTCCTCGTATCCAAAGCGCTGGCGGATAAATTCGACGTCGGCCTGCTCACGCTGTCGTGGCTCATCGAATCGGCGAACATATCCGGTCAATTGCCCAAGGAAGTTGCGTAACGCCCCCGGGTCTGCACGCTCGGGCGACGGATGGGCGGCGATGAGCCAAGACGGCCATGGGGTGAGTACGGAACCTATCTGCAAAGGGGAGAGAGGATTAGACCTCGGATGTATACATGGATTGGGTGGTACTTGCGAATCTGACTTCCCCAGAGTCTACGTAGGGTTTTGTCGTGAACCTGATCAACTCGTAGGCATTCGTGCAGGTAGGGTAGAGCTGGGACGACAAATCTCACCATTCCCAAAGAAAAGCACTGTGCCAAAGGTTAGCAACCTGAAACGGGAGCCAAACTGACATACTGTACCTTGTTGATCCATCATTAACTGAGGCGTTCAGCCCTTTCAGATTGTTGTTGACTGATTTAGCTCTTGGTGAGTTGCCCGAACTCATGGCCGTTCAGCGAGCACCTCACCTTGAAACTCAGGAATTTCGACCTTTCCGTCTGGGGTGGTCCATTCATTTTGCATCGCCCTGGAGTTGCATAAGCTACGGCCAACGAGGCACCGTGTAGACGTACATCACAGCAGCCATTGTTTGAGATCCGCTGTAGAATCGTTGAGTCTATTTCTGTATAGCAAATATCATAGCCGACCTTCCGATGCGCGAAATGCCTATTTTGGTTCCTCGAAGGTCCTTGATTGATTGGAACTTGCTATCCTTTCCAGTAACGACCGCCCTGCGTGTGGATTCAGAATATGGACACGGCGAGACATTGGACCGCGCGTACCAGTTCAGCGAAGTTTGCACATATGAGCCGACCAGCTTGTATGCCTTGGAGCCTTTAGCGATTCCAGCAATCAAAGCGTCCGTCAAAGCTCTGGGTTGCATGACGCATGTCCAGTAAAAACACGCAAATCCGACTAGTACTGCTCACACTGCAACGTCGATCTCGTTGTTTTGTAGAGCAGCGGTCATAGCACCAGTTCCGCCTGTTTGTTGTCAAATAGGTTCTGCCAAACGGTCTACTTTCTGACCTGGAAATGAAGTGAGAGCAAAGGTCTTGCCATTATCGTCACCCGCATACTAGTAGGATGTTAGGTTGAGTTTTCCTCTGTATTATTGCCGCTTACCTGCAGGAGAGGCGAGGCAAAGTGCTCAGGGACGTATCCGACGCGGAGCATGGTCGCTGCAAATTAACTGGTGATCGACGCGTGACTCGATTGCAAATAGGTATCCCCTCAACCAACCACGCCAGCCAGCGTTACACATGTCGACCTTGTCCCTGCTTCATTTCAACGATGGTACGTATCTGTCCGACAAACTAACCTGTAGCTGACACGGCCGGGCAGTCTATCGTGTCACTAAACAAAAAATCCAGGGCACGAGCGGCACAATAGGTGGGCGTGTACCGGCTTGCTTGAACCTTGAAGGCTTACTAACTTCGGTCTCTCAGATGTTACGCAGTTTGCCGGACTTTTGGAGTCTATACGCAATAGCTGGAGTGAACGGTCTGACGGGAAACAGGATGGCCTAGTGCTGTTCAGCGGTGACCTGTTTAGCCCCAGTGTGGAATCCACAGTTACCCGGGGTAGCCACATGGTAAACTCCCGTTGCATCCCATATAGTTAGGAACTGAAAGCTTCTAGGTTCCGGTTATGAACGACATAGCGCCTGACGCGGCCCTTACAGGTCAGTTGTATCATAAGCGTTTCGCGGTGTGTGATTAAATTATGTCCTCCGCTCAGGGAACCACGATTTCGATGTAAGGGCTATTATACATCTATTGTACATTGTTCTGACTCTTCTCTATCTACCCGTAGTTCGGATATCCGCATTTATGTAAACTCGTGAACGACTGCACTTTTGTATATTCTGCCCACTTCCCTATCCTTTCTATCTCCTGACTGTTCCGACAGCCCTGGATCTTGAGCAACATCATTGACACCGACACTGGCACCGTACCTGACAAACTTACCCGCTATCAAGTATTCGAACGAGGTGGGGTTCGGGTTGGCGTTATTGGATTAGTTGAAGAGTACGCACAACCCTATTTATTCTAGATTCTTGACACATAACTTGTCCCGTAGAGAATGGATTGCAACCGTCGCTTCATGGCCCGCCAGCTTCAAGTACCAATCGATGGTAGATACTACCAGGAGTCTCTCGGAAGAGCTCCGCGACCCGAACGGGCCACATAAATGTGATGTTATCTTGGCGCTCACACATGCAAGGTCAGCTCGCTTTTAGCCTCTTGGTGTTCCAAGCAATGACTTTGAAGTGCAGGCTGCCAAATGTAAGCTCCTCGCAAGCGGTCAAATAACCCATACGATACCATTAACCCCAATAGGACATCGAATTGGCCAAAGCAGTAATGGCGCATTCGCAGATGTCATCAGACGCTGTGAACTCGCACGGAGCCGATGTACTTTTCGGGGGACACGACCACATGTAGGTCGAACCTACATCTTTTGCCTCTCATATTCAAGGTGATTGCCTCAAGGTACTACATTGGACGTGGGGCAGCGTCTTGGGACAACTATGATCTTGGCAGCACCTGTCTGGGAAGCGAAGAGGATGATGGGGTATTGTGAGTAGTTAATATCGATTTTCAGCATATACTCAACCTCGATCTCAGCATCGTCAAGAGTGGCACGGATTTCCGAGATTTAAGCGAAATTACTCTCGAGTTGGAGGACACGCCCGAGGGTAGCGTTCGCCGGAAAATAGTCAAATCCATCCGTGGTGGGTATGCTACTATAAACCAATTCCTCAGTCTGATCTTGTACGACAAGGGGCACGACGAGTTGTCCAGCCAGATATGCCACCATCTCGTTCCCTGACGGAGGTACTCAAAAAACAACTTGACTCGGTGTCTTCTTCGCTCTCTCAACCTATCTGTCATTCGCTAGCAGAATGGAATGCTAAGTCGGATTTGGTTCGAACAGACGAGGTCGGTCTTTTAATGATACATTCCTCGGTCGACTCACACCTTCCTAGTCTGCGCTAGGAAACTGGATGGCGGATGTTCTTCGGCATGCGTATGACGATGCGCTTTGCGTCAAGGCAGGAGGCGTTGCGGATGGGGTGTTGATCTGTGGCGGGACTTTGCGAGGAGATTCTGTTTATGGTCCTGGTGCGTATATAAATCCTTGTCCATATCACCAAACTGAGGTGTATGCCCAGGCGAGATTACCCTGGGAGATTTACTAGAGATCCTCCCGTTCGCAGATCCCATAGTCGTTCAAGCCCTGGATGGAGAAACTATCTGGAACGCTTTAGAATCGGCACTGTCAACTTGGCCAGCTCAAGAAGGGTGCGTCCACCGGGCGGTTTATTTAAATAGCTGATTTTGGCTGCAGGCGTTTTCCCATCGTATCGGGATTCCGTGTTGAGTGGGACTCGAGACTTGCGCCCGGGAAGCGCATCAAGGGCATCTGGATCGCAGAACAAGAAGTCTCCCCCGATGGCTCGGTGCAAAGCAGGAACGGGAGACCGCTCGAACGTGACACAAGCCAAGTGTATCGAATTGTCACACGCGAGTACATGGCTTCTGGCCACGACGGATACGAAGCGCTGAAAGGGAAACAATACCTAATTGATGACGAAAATGGTGTTATTATGAGCTCGATTGTTCGGAGGTACTTGTTGGGTAAGTCAGGTCTTGCCTGATTGGAACCGTCGCCGTCTGAGATGATACCTGGCAGGTTCGCAATACATCCACACATTCAAAGTCCAGCAACAGAATAGCGCACCCAGGTTCCTTTCCTCCACGACCCCAAGCACACTCTCCAAGGCCAAGCAGCGTTGGCTGAAAGCCACCGAGATGATCGTCAATTTTGAGCGCCAACGCGCGCCAACCGGGCACACCATTCCTGAAATTGGCGACGCTCTCCGGATTGCGCAGCAGGAGCACATGACGGATATTGACAAGTATGATGGTGCACTGGCAAGGTGTGGGAATCCTTCCAGGTCGATGGCGTCAAAGGGCAAGATTGATCTGGTGGTGGTTAAGCCGGTCGTTGATGGGCGGTTGAAAGACCTTGCTAGGGCAAAATGACCGAGATAGTTGAACCAATATGCGAATTTTACCCACGGGATAAATGTGCTTGGCCTGAGTACGAAGAATAAAAAACCCCTATTTTTAAAAATCCTGCTTATAGCCACCGTTAAGGCCCCGTTCAGGCAAGGACGGGCGGGCTGTGGTGATGAGGAATCAGCCACTGGTGACCCGGCGCTTAGCGAGAGCCAAAGCGATCCCGCCGGGGTACGGTGATAGTATGTAGCATCACGGCCAAATATTTTGTACAATTCCAGAGTTTCTACTACGGGCGATGAGCGCTTGTACACTATCTAAGACAGCTCCTAAAGTAGTATATCAGTTTGAAGCATAGGCGTACCGGGGTTTCCCCGGTTCAACAGGGTGCAGGGTGCTTGGAAAAGCGTAACCTTGGTCGAAAGCTCTGCCTGGGCTCGAAATTTACGCGCATACATCTTACTCATTCGGCTCTAACCGCTATTGGTCCTTGGTGAAGGAAGGCCCGGTCCTTTCAGCTGTCGATGCGGAGACGTGTTGCTTTCGGACAAGATCAGAACTTGGACAGCTACTACATATATCATGTTATCCACCTGGGCCTCACTAGTGACCACCTGTGAGCCGCAAATTTGCAATACCCCTGAAAACCTGTGGGTATCCCCACTCTCAGCCCTAGCCACAGTGGAGCTCTATGATAGACCACAAACAACACGAGGCATAGCTCGGGGAAGATAGAGATAAGTAGCAGCAGGGAGAGCAAGGTTACAGCTGCACTCCGGGGAACATACCTTTGAAGGCCACATAGAGTGATACTGTACCATCCCTTGGTAGCTCAGCTGGAAGAGCGCAAGACTGTAACGGTTATTACGTAATCAAGATTGTGTAATCTTGAATCTTGAGGCCACTGGTTCGATCCCGGTCTAAGGGATTCTTTTTGCATGCATTTCTCCATAAAATACCTGTGTTGTCGCCTGGAGTTCACTGCCTCTGTGTACAGGAATCAAGTGGATGGTTTTCCTGGTTGCAACCCAGTGCATGGGTTGGGGATTCGACTGCAAGATGTGAATGAGCTGCATATACGGCCAAAGAAAATGTACTTGAAGTTTTTTATTTATTTAAAAAAGGCAAGAAAATCTAGGTAAACCACTGAGGAACAAGAGAGGAAGGTGTCTGAAGTCGGGCATTGTATTCTCTAGTGAATTGCATATATGCTAGTCTATGTGTTTTATCTCAACTCCTTGCCCTGTAATTCTGTGGTGAATACTTGGCTGGTGTTTCCAGAAAAATGACTGCACTACTTCAGACACTTCCTCCCCTGTTTCTCTGCGGTTTGCTTATCTATTCTTTGTAATTGGAGGTACGTAACCTAGCTACTATCTCGCATTTTCTTGGGCCACGTATGTCGCTCATTCATGTGTCGCAGTTGAAACCCTAGCTTATGCATCGTGTGGTCCACACAGACACGTGACCGCGCCGAATATATTCCCGGGCGCTTGCGTGCCCGCTACACCCCGCACGCGAAGCGCGCACATGCAACACACCATCAGTTCCACCCTTCCCCCATCTTCCCCTGTTCCCTGGCTTTCTTTTCCTTTTCCTTTTCCTGCCCTCATCCTGTTGCTCCCACTAACTTAGGTTTTGGCCGCCGCTCGGCTGGTGCAACCCCGGCTGCGTCACCTGACCGCTCGCTGTTGCCTCCGGCGTTCATGTTCCAGGCCCTCAACCTTTCTCCAGCCGGCTCTGCCATCTCACAAATTCAACAAATATACATTGTCACAAGTACGGTGCGCACTCCACAAGCCACCCGATGCCAAGGCCAAATTCATTCTCCGTGGTGGTGGATTAGACACCGTGCTTGTAGATGTTATTTCCACCCGTAATGTTCCCAACTCCAATGTCGGCTGATGTGAATGCGTCCGCCTTGTTGTTCGAAGAAGCATCGTCCATCCTACGTTGTTTCTCTAGTACAAGGAAACTGACAACCACGAGGTCGGCAATCTCTACCGCCCGTGGGCTGAGCGTCAAAACCGCAGGGGAGACGACACCAGAGGCATGGTCAAGGCGGGATTTCTTGAAGCCTGCAATTCCTTCCTTTCCATCTTTCTCAAACAACTGGGGGGTGTTTCAGGTGGAGAATATTAGTGATACCCAACACTACTTACAACCATTTGAAGCCCGGCACCATATCCTCTCCATTCATACTTGCGACCCTGATCGTCCGAGAAAGACACGGTGCTGCAACTCGAGTTAGTAGCTAGCGATACTTGCAGGAGTGGTACTGACGTCGAAAATATCTTCTTCTTTAGTATGTTCCCGGAACTGACCAACGGCTTTCCAGCAAGCGCAAGCTTATCGCTAAACACTTCGCGCCATTCCAAACTCGCAATGACTGGGGTACTCTCCCAGTCGTCGGTCGGGCCACTCTGGGATTTACGATAGGTGGTTACCATGTCCTTTCCGTCCCGTAGCTTTGCGACGGCGGAATAGCACGGCCCAGAGCCATTAGAGGGCGTAAGGACACAATTGGAGGGGTTGTCTTTGTTGAAGACGAGCTCCAGGTTTGGCGCGCTGGTTACCTCGGTTGTGGTCACGGCCTCGGAAGCCATTGTGCAGGGGACTATTCGAGAGAGTTGTAGACTGTGGATTGGGGGCGGGCCATATTTAACTTCAGTCATGGCACCGCAGCCAAGCTGCGGTCTGCTAACTGCTAGTCACCTGTATGTACGCCGTATATAGCTTCGTCTAAGCAGTCCGGATGCCTGTTCAAGCGAGACGGGATGCTCTGAAGAGCGTGGATGAGCACAGGTACAGGGGTTCTTGGCATTCTCCGATCATAGCTCGAATAGCAATCACATGGAAATGCATAGCCTCTTCATTGGATCAGAATCATCCACGCAAGCAGAAAATAAAACAGCCTAGGTTTAACGAAAGTCTCATGTTACTACGTGAATACGGGTGGTGGCAAGGGACTCACAGCAGCGGGTACACTGCAAGTAAAATGCGTTGCTGCTCTATTTTTGTGCCGTCCAAAAAGTTCACCGCAGCTAGGGAATGAACTTCGGGTTGAGTGCAGGTCAATCAGAGGCAAGGGAAAGCGCACCCCAGACGCACCAAGCCCAGGCCGCAATGGCGATGGGGGCCCTAACATAGAGAACGCGGACAAAGGTGGAGACGATTGCTGCTAATACTGTGTGATTTGTTAGACAACAATATTTACCAGGACGGGAGCAACGCACCCAACGGGAAGATACAGTAGCCCAGAACGCACAGCGATTGGAATAACGAACTATATTTTAGGTATGAGTTGGATACTCTGGTCTCGGACTGGGCGGCACTTACACACGACCTCCCAGAAGCTTCGCGTTGAGGGTAACGACTAGGGAGCCTACTGATACGATGACTACGACACCTGTAAAAACGCCTAGAGATTGAGTAGGAGGTGCCTACAAATCTGACATTATTTGCACGAACAAACATTCGTGTATGCTCGCTTACGTTGACGCTCAACAGGATGCCAAGAGCGAGGCACAGAATTAGGGGCCCCCACAAGTCCCAGTCCCTAGACGCCCAGAAAACGTTGGTCAATTAAACGACTGCGTCACCTTTGACTGACCTCAAAACTTCTCTACCGGCGCCAGTTCGACGGGGGTAAAGAACTTGGAGCAGTTTGCTATAGATGGACGATAAATCTCGAGCCTAGTGTTTCGATTAGACCGAGTATCTGCTGCTTGTAGAGTACTCACGATGGTAGCGGTCACAGGTTCATCGAGTGTGTCCACGCCAGAGTATCTGCATGCGTGTCAGAGACGCGGTCAGTGGTTACAAGGGAACAAACCTAGTCTCTACTCGGACGCCTCCGTACTGCTGCCTGGTGCTGTTAGGGCGCCCCTGTGCTTCTGTTCCGCTTGAAGACCCAATGTTGCCAGACAAGGCCGGATTGGGTGTCAGAACAACTGGTTCCATTGGCGTTCTGCCTGCAGGGGTCAGGGGAACTGTCTCCCCGTGTACGGAAGGCCGAGTGAAGCTAGGAAGGTCTTCGTCGTTGACATCGTCGTCATCTGCCACGATGTAATGCTGTGGAGGTGCCGGCGAGGTGGACATGGTTCAGTTCACGCGCGCGAATAGTGGCGTTGTCCAAACAACTCCAAAGTGTACCGGTCGCGACTTGCGGATAGGGGTCAATTTCGTCATCCTCAACCGCACTACCACCTAGTGAGCTACAGCCCTGCCAATCCATTTCTTCTTGAATTTATTTTACGACACAACGACGACGCGCACGAGCCTCACGACTCGAATCCTTTCTCAACATGACGGAATTATACCCGCCTTTGCCCCCGTCTCCCCCTGCGTCTCCCGGCATTCCATTTCCAGCCTCAAAATATGAACCGCCTCCTTATATCCGCACTTCCTTCTCTTCAGGATATATACGCTCCAATTCTACCTCTGCAGTTATTTTGGCGCCAACACCAATTGCTACCTCTCCGTCTACTCCTAGCCTAAGGCGTCACTCGCAAAGTCGTGGGCACAGGCATACCAAAAGCCTGAACGCTCATTATACTCCGCCGCCCCTCCCGTTACCCAAAGGCGAACTTGATCCAGGATATAATAGCAACAAGGAGGATTCTGACGAACGAGTCGAGGTGGTCATTCGGCAATGGAGATTGAAACACAACAAATCCATGTCTCTACGTTTGTCCACAGATGAGGATCTAACGGTTCCATCTCTACCTGTACGTGTCGCGCCAATATATTGTGTGGGTGAAACTCAACTCGAGCTCACAGGACAATCCTAAACTGTGGACACCTGCTCAACTCGCTCAATACCTGCTTACAGCCCTCCGTTTCAATAGTTCCAAGTCTAGCGAAGTTATTCTCGTACCGAAGCCTGTAGCCCAAGATATCGCCAACTTTGTGGTCGAGTGCAAACTCAATGGTCGAGCGTTTCTACGACTGGCTGAAAAGGATATGGAAGAGTGGGTGATCTTAGCATCTGCAGAGGTTGCCCGTGACTCATTTTGCACACCTCTACATAAAGGCTGGGTGTTAACCAGCTCTGGAGAACCGCGCTTTTATCATCTTCCTTGGATCTCCGCAAGAGCCTGCTGAAAGGCCGTATATGGGGGCTTGGACTTGAAGAAGGTATTAACACTGGCTCCACCCGCGGGCACGGGCGACGTGTTCCTAGCACCGTGCTGGAGCGCGAGGAATCAAGCTCGTGGATATCCACGCCTACATCACCCGTCCGTATTCTCTCGCCTCGACCCGAAGATTCCAGCGACCAGTCAGAGGGGCACTTGTCTCGAAACTCCTCAGTTCTCAGCTTTGAATCGGATAGGTCGCTGAAAAATGCCGCTTCCCCGCACCCCGGCCGTTCCCGTGCTCAGTCTACTTCGTCTATCACAAGCTCAAGTGCTGGGCGTGTCCAGGAGATAGTGCGAAACTTGGAGCGACGTCGGACTGCCCCAGATATCGAGGTCGGCCAGTTGAACCAAGATCTGGACTTCGTCGGTGGCAAGATGACCTCGGCGGGCGAAGCCGATACAGCCGGGGATAATACTATTATTGTATGCGAACCGGAGGAGTTCGGGCACAGGAACGATGAACACACGTTGTTCCGCACAATTCTCGACCCAGCCGTTGTTCAGCCGATCGATTCACCCGTGACCTCACAATCCTCAAGGACAAGTGAATCCGTGTTTGTCGAAACCCCACCGCTTCCACCCTTGGTTGATCTACCTACTATCCCTCAACGAGACTCAATTCCGCCGTTCCATGATCCAGGCGAAATCAAATGGACCGCCCCAAATGAGGAACCAACCATGGAGGTGCTTCCCCGAGATGGAGGTGTTCAGGGGGAGCGTCTCCGCGCGACCTCATGGGGTGCTAAAGCGTGGGAGGTCGACTTTCCTGGGGGCACAAGTCGCCGCG